AGTGCCTACCGGCTGCTTGTAAGGCGCTTGGAGCGCCTGTGGATAGGCAGTCGCGTGGGCAGCGGCGCAGGCGTGTGCTGCGTGAGTGCCTACCGCCTGCTGGTAAGGCGCTCGAGACGCCTTTGGGTAGGCAGCCGCGCGGGCAGCGGCGCGGGCGTGTGCTGCGGGAGTCGGTGTTGTTTACTGCGTGGCTGGTCGGTGCGTTCCCTTTTTCCAACCTACATCGGTTTTAAACAATAATTTTTTGACAGATCGAGCTTTAACTGTCAATATTGTAATTAATTACCAAAGTTCGACAAAGTTTTATGAAATCACTATTTTTTTAACATTTTCACTGTAAAAAAAATGTGTTTTTTTTCGTGGACATTGCTTCTCTTGTGATTAGATTAGCCCCCTCATGCGTTTACCATGACTTTACGTCACCCAATGTGTTTCTAGTATCAATGAAATCTGCGAGGGTGAAAAGTAAATTATTGGTAATCGTTGCGGTGCAAGGTACGCCTTTGCGTGGGACCCTCTCGATGTCGCGCGCGCGAGAGGGTTTCTCGCGTCACTGGCTATGGGTGCAGAGCGCCATTATTGCTGCTGTGTGGTGTCTGTTTTCGTTTTGCAACGAGTCCGTCGCTCCGCTATGCCGCCCCGAGTGTGGCCCGCCCGGGCCCGCCGCGCTGCTCGCGCCACCCTCAGGGACTGATAGCGGAGCAGCTAGAGCGGGGCGGGAGCGATCGATGCGGCGGGGAAACAGACAACGATAGCCCCACCCGTTCTTGGATTCCCACGGTGAACCGCAACGCCTTCTCTCGCATTGCTAATTACTCGGGTTACAGCTACTCGCGGGTAGAGGGAGGGAGAGAGAGAGAGGGAGAGAGAGAGAGAGAGAGGGAGAGAGGGAGAGAGGGAGAGGGAGAGAGGGAGAGAGGCGAAATTAGGGCTGAAAGGAAAAACATGTTGTGGGCACGATAGAAAAAGAATTGTCTGGACGGGAGAAAAAAAATGAATGGTAAACTAATTATTGTCTTGTTTGTTTGTTTCAGATGGCGGGCTGGGCAGCCGCCCTACTACTGGCGGTCGCTGTATTGCTACCGGTAAGAATTGGGCTATATGCCCCTTGCTTAACTCGAATAAATAATAGGCCTCGTTCTCCCTCAAGGTGAGCTGATGTTTAGAAAACATCCCTTGTGGCGGAGACTGGAAACTCTTTCGCCAGAGCCCAGAGGAAGCACCGAGGCTCAAGCAAAAGATTGGGAAAACGAGCAGCCAAACAGCATCTTATTTCAGTAAAAGACGTGCAATGGGAGTGGGCGTTTGGAAGCATTAGTGTTGTGTGTAAAAATGAGGAGGGGGGGGGGGTATTTGCATGTGCAAGAATGTGGTTGGAGGGGACGCAATTGCGAGCAGTTTGGGGCTTGTTGAAAGTAAATCGTCTATGGCAGAAAAGTCGTGCAAAAAATACGTACTTATGCGAGTAACGAAAGTGGCAAGCATGTCAGTCAAATGCCATAGTTTCGAATCAACTTATTTGTGGCCTCACTTACCTCTGACACTTTTCTTGCGTTTCAGCCGAGCCCAGCCACGGCCTACATGTCGGACCGGCACTCTGCTTCTAACGCGATCCTAGGTAAGCCACGACTATAGAAATACCGCAGAAATTTCCGGTTTTGTTTTTGTTTTTCTCAAATCAAACAATGACGGTACATTTCTTCTCCGCGCAGGCATCAGCACGGCCTGCTCGTCGGGGAGCATGAACGTGACGGTGCGGATGCGGCACCCGTTCCGCGGCATCCTGTACTCGCGCGGCTTCCCGCTGGAGTGCAGCACGGCGCGCGACCAGCACCACAAGCTGTTCGACTTCCTGCAGCAGCGCGAGCGCGACCGGGAGGCGGGGCGCCACGACAACGAGAACCAGGTGCCGCTGCAGCCCGCCAAGGAGGTGACGCTCAGCCTGCCCGCCTCCGAGTGCGGCATCCGCGTCGTGCCCAGCAAGGTACGCCCCACCCACACACTCATGCATGAGTCGTCCTCTTAGCGCGTAGATACCTCTGAAGTTGTTTCTCACTTCAAGATTTACTGTGAAAAATGTCCTCGTAAATTTACTACAAAATACTACTACAAAATACTACGACAAATATTTACAAAATATCTTGTAAATTTGCAACAGCCCATTCTTTCTTGTCTACCGACTCCAAGTAGGCACGAAATTAACTGTATTTCAAATTATTTTTACGATACACACAATTGAAACTTTTCCCCGTAAACATACGACCGTCTTTTTACATTGATATATCTAATCTTACCTCCTTCTTGCAGCACAGATTTTGACCTTTTCTCTCTTCTTATAAATTGCGCTAATTATTTAATCTAATCCTTTGGGGCGTTCCGCAGGATGGCGAGGGCCTGTGGTTGCAGACGTCCGTGGTGGTGCAGCTGGACCGGCACCTGCAGCAGGCGGCGGACCAGACGCGCACCGTGTCCTGCCACCTTCCCGCCCGGGAGTCCAGCATCCTCCTTCAGCCCCTGCAGAGTCACAGGTTCATATGAGGTTTTGTAGCTAGTAAATGTTTGACAGGCAAACCTCACTTGGTGGCTCAGCCTGCTGGTACTGTAACGATCAATGTGTGCGCGTCCTTATCAAAATAATGAATGAAAAAATCATGAATGAATACGTCAATGAATCACGGTAAAAGCAATGTTTCATTTTTTGAGAGAAAAGGGAAAACTTTGAGTAACTCTCATAATTTGGAGAAAACCCGCTTACATTTTGAGAATGTCTTAAAAAGCTATGAAAGTCCCCAAATTTCTTGTCAAGACTTCCTCAAAACAAATTTTCCCTGTCTCCACACAAAAAGTATTCATTGTCTTTACCGTGGAATGAATTGACTGTAACTTGCGCCAACAATCCTATAACTTGATCTGCTCTAAATCTCGTAGGACCGGGCGGCAGCGCGGCGAAGACATCCCCTCTGTGGACTTCGCCGAGGCGTCCTCGTCGTCGTCCTCACCGGCGTCCTCGCCGGCGGCTTGGCAGCAGCAGCAGCAGCACCACTGGCAGCGCGCGCGCGCCCTCATGGAGATCCTGACGACGGCAGGCAGAGGTCGAGACCCCGGAGTGCTGACGGTGGGCGAGGAGGCGGCACTGATCGTCACCAGCCACCTGCCAGGCAAGCGCAGTCAAACGTCCGGCCAATGGCTTTGGAATTATGGGGGCTCCCTTCACCACCACAAAACATAATTTTTTAGACACAGTCTGGAGATTCAAGCTGGTTTAAGAATTTCCGACTTACTGAATAATTAAATTCAAATATTCCCACAAAACGGTTCCCTCTGTGAAACTTGTCATTAACCGTATTCAGTGAACTACTTTACATGTACTTTGAATTTACATCTTTAGTGCACCCTTACGTTTTCCTGAAGCTCCTGTTCCTCCCTCAGCCGGAGTCGGGTCTCGCGTGACGGACTGCTTCGCGCACGACGGCGCGGGCGAGGGCATGGAGCGGCTGTCGGACGGGCGCGGCTGCCCCACGGACAGGCTCATCCTGCCGCAGCTCAGGGAGGTGCGCGCCGGGCCGGCCGGGGGCCCGCTGCAGGACCAGCGCAAGCGGAGGAAGCGCGCGCCCAACAGCAGCCTCCACACGCACGTACGTACGGGTAGGGGCAGAGACGCGCGTCCCCCGAGGGGCCCTTCACTCAAAAAAATCAGTGTACACCCTTAAAAAAAAATCAGAAAAAATCAGAAAAAATCAACGAAAAGTCAGACAAAAATCAGAAAAAATCTCAAAAAATAATTTTTAAAAAATCACTTAAATCAAGAAAAACAAAAAAATTGGTGTACGCTAGAATTTATACTGAAGGACCCCTCGGCGTTCCCCTCACGCTTCTGTCAGCAGCAATCACGCCATCATATCGATGAAATGGGCCTCTGGAGGTGTGAGGAGCAGTAACAGGATACTCTTCCTCCCGCGGTGGTAGGCAACTCAAATAACTCGCGGTCACTACTAGGTTCGAGTGGCATGAAAAAGAAACACTCTTGCACCACTCGTTCCCCGTGGAGGTAGGCAGCCCAACGTGGTTCCTCTAGAGTCTCCAGGCAGCCAGAGGCACCACGTCCACCCTCCGCGGCGCCGGCCGGCCCGTTCGTCCTGCTTACTCCGCGTAGACTGGCAACCCAACGTAGCGACCGGTGGTGGTGAGCTGTTGGCCCGCCACTGCGCGGTGCTCCGTTGGATAGGCAACCCAACGAACACCTGCGGGTGTTGGGCGCAGCTGCGGCAGGTGCAGGTGGGGTGTGGTGGGGGATCCAGTGCCGCTGCCGCCTGCGGCCGGGTAGGTGGGCAACCATTCGAGCGCCAGTCTTGGAGGAACCAAGCTGTGCAGGACAAAACGCCCCCTTGCTGGGGCAGGGCGGCAACTTTACTGGCATCTTGTCGGTAGGGGTGGGGGGAGTCCCAACTAACACGGTTGCCAGTCGGCCACCGGCGGCTGTTGCCCCCCACTCTGGCTATAGAGCTTTTCGTTTGGAGATTTAAATGAGATGAGTAATTCAATAATTCGCACACACATGCTACACGTGCGCGCGTTTACGTTGCCGAGCTTGTGGTAAATTGGTTTAGTTAACCTTATAGTCATTTGTGTGAGAAATTATACACACTTATATCTCTCGCGTAGAATGTGCTGCGGTACCCATTGATGCCGACGAGCCCCCCACCCCACGCACCTCCCAGCCCACGACGAAAACGTTTCCCGACGACTATTCCCAAATGAAATCGTCAATAAGCTCTGGGCCACCGCGCTGCGCCGGGCCGGGCCGGCCGCCTCCCCGCCCCCGCCGGGTGCAGACACCATATCTCCTCGCCAGCACTCGCCCAGGCGGCAGAGGCAATTGTTGTGCCAAACGCGCCGCGGACCATAAAAGATGAAGAATGAAGAAGGCCGTTTTAATTGCGGGTTTGGCCGTTACGCAATTTTCCCTGTGAGCGCACTCTAATGAGGCACAAAGGGGCGATTGGGCACTGCACATTGAGGGGGTCCCTTTTTTTGTTTGAGTTTTGAAAGTGAATGTATGCGTGTGAGAGTGGGAGGTGTACGTACCGACCGCCGTAAAGGCAGTACCGGCCCAACGGGAAGTATGCGAACTTTGTTGGTTGGGTGGGGCGTTGTTTGGTAGCCCAGGTGGTCATTATTGGCTTTAGTTACGCAGCGGGTGCCCTACACTGTGAAAAATATTCGTAGGATTACGCGTAAATCTTCTATGACGCGTGTGTTGTCAAATTAAAATCTGAAATTATTGTTGTAAATTTACCAGCACTTCGTACCGCCTCGGAATTGGTTGACAGGAGGAATGGGCTGTTGCAAATTTTCAAAATATTTTGTTAGTAAAATAAATGACAACAAATGTTGCGAATTTACGAGGATCTTTTTCACAGTGCACAACTTAACTTTCAAGGATAAATATGAGCAGTAATACAAAATAACAGCAAGTGACAAACCTATGGTCTTGCACTTGATGAAATAGCCCGTTTATAAATTGGATATGGAAGAGTAAATTAGCTGTTTTCAGAAGTGACAATAATGGCTTCTGGTTTGACCCCTGATGCCCCTCGGACTGGCCCCGCCGTGGCCCCCGCAGGGTCCTCCTCCGTGGTGGGGCGCCATTTAACGCGTCCCTTTTTAATTGCGGGCGGCAGTGGCTGCAGTGGCCGGCCGGGCGGCCCTACCCGGGGGGCTCGAGGGGCAGCGAACCTCGTCCTCCGACCCTTGGGCATTGGTCACAGACTGCGCGCGGGCGTAAGCCATGCAGAGCCTCGCCGGAGTTACGCGGCTCCTGACGGCCGCTCAAGGATGAACGAGTCCACCAAGGATTACCTCTCTGCTTCGCACCTGCCCGCGCCGGGTCAGCCAGGCCAAGTCTAGCCGATGGACCATGATGCCCCTTCCTCCCCCGCGACACACCGTGACAGGCGCGGCCATTTGTGTGGGGGGCAATCTGCGGGGCATGCACTGTGAAAAGATCGGGGGGGATAATTACTATCGGTGAACCAAAATCGAGAGGGAAAGAGAAAGAGTTTGACGAGAAGCAGCTCGGATGCTCTCTGCCCGAAGCAGCAGGCAGCAGCATATTCAGTGGAAGGAGAGAGTCAGGTCACCAAAGACTGGAATATGTATTAGTTAGCTTGCAAACACCACAATGCGCTGAAATGATTAAGGCTTCCAAACGCTTAACTGACAAGCTTATGTTTAATGTTTTCTCTGTATTTCTCATGGGATATCGGGTGCCCAATTAATTCACTTTCACGTGCTCACCATAAGTCACACGTTTTAAGTGGGACTTAGTTCTTCTTCTTAGTTTACCATATGTTAAATTGCAACCAAAGACACTTGAGGGCTTGTGATTAATTTCACTTTTATTGCGGCATATTGATTGATATTACTGTGTAGTGTCACTAAAAGTACGATATGAGCATGTCACTTCAAAACAATCTGTCGTTCTTTTCAAGAAACCTCACATACATTGTAATAATTCTTTTTTGTTCCTTTGCTGTTAAGTTTGATGATGCGGATAGACGAGCAGAGCGCTGCCTGAATGACGGGGATGATGGTGATGATGATGTCGCTTTTCGCGCCTCTGTGCGTTGTCGCAGGTGACCGCCGCCAAGTTCGCTGCCTTCAAGTTCCCCGACCGCAGCCGTCTGCACCTGCGCTGCCAGCTGCAGCTGTGCCGCGGTGCCTGCGCGCAGGTGAGTGCGCGGCTACGCGGGCGGCCTGCAGCTGCCCGGGTCGCGGTGTGAATAGGTCTGCTTACCGGGCGGCTCTCGCGCAAATCGACTGCTTTTGTCTGCTTGGTGCTTTGCAGGACAGTTGCGACCAGGCGAACGCGACCCGACAGGAGAGGAGGGCACGGAAGGTACGTGCGCTCTTGTTTTGGCCTCTGACCTGACACGAGGAACTTATTGGAGTAATCCTGGTGAACACCCGTGTCTTCTTGCAGGGCGAGCGGGGCGAGATCCTGGGCCGGTTGCAGGTGTTTAACAGCGTGGAAGTTCTGGCGCCCGGTATCGAGGGGGACGACCGGCTCAGGCTGGACGAGCTGACCGCAGGTGAGGCAGAGGGAGGAGGAGATGCAAGTAGCAAGCTGGCGTTGTCGTTATGGCTAAATAGAGCTTTTCTGCTGAGTTGAGAGTTCAGTCACCCAGCCTGCTCGAACACGAAACGATTTGCTCAAGCATCAAACAGTCCCAATGTTATCAGAGTAGACCGAAAATGTCACACTGTTGCAAGAGAATAAAGAGATTTTGTAATCGTTCAAAAACGCACCAAAAGTAATTAGAGTATTTCCGCTGTCACAGGATTGGTACTTAAGTTTGTTTTATTCTTGCAAAGGTGAGATATTTCGTTGTACTCCTGTACCAGTCGGACGACTGTTGTACTCTTGCATTTACAGAGTAACTGACTTAGCGCCGTCGAAAACCTTTTTACCCCTTTCCCCCCTGGTGCATTTCCTATTTCGATGCCGCCCCGCCCTCCCCAGTACGGAACATTCCGTCAAACAGCCGTTTAGCGCGGGCCGTTACCCCAATACTGGGTGCACGGCGGGCTAACGAGGCCATGCACACGGGCCCGAGGTGCCTGCAAGGAGCCTGGGGGGCTCCAACCCTTATCACCTGCTAATCTGCGGGCTCTAGCTCGCTTAGCTAGCGCTGCACTCCGTGCCCGCCCCGCGCCGCCCCGCCCCCAGCTCCGAACACTACCGGGAGGGTCTTGGCCGGGCACGGCTCGAGGAAAACTTTTTAAATGACCCGCCATCATCACACCTTGGCGCGCGGAGCCGGGGCGGAGCACCGCGGGACTCCGTCGAGGCGGCGTGGCGGAGCGTGGCCGTAGTGTGATGATGGGAAGCGCACACACACGCGCGCGCGATTGATCCATCCTCGTGCGATGCGGGTGGGAAAAATGGAGAGAGAAGGAGAAATAAAACACATAAAGCGATGACGAGAGGGAAGGTCAGGAACTTGGTGGCCGCGCCGGGTGTAAAGACTTTTTCGTTTACCCGCTCAGCGCGCTCCCGCTTGCAATAACAATCAAGGCGCTTAATGCTTTATTGGCAGCACGCCCGGCTCAGCCCGGCCGAGGCGTGACTCTCGTGCCAATAACGCCGATATGACTGTGAATAAACATGTTAGCGGCAGCCGAAGCGCTTGCGAGCCGCTTTGATTGTAAATATTGTAAATCGGGGGAGGGATAGAGGAGGAGGTGTTGGGGCCGCGCGCCTTGCAGCGCCGCGCCGCCGCGTTGCAGCCGTCAATAAGTGAAAATGGCGTGCGATTTCGGCGCCGATATCGCGGCTAAGCTCACGACGCGATGGGCTCATTGGCTCCGCCGGGACCCGCCGGGACCCGCTGGGATCCGCCAGGATCCGCCAGGATCCGCACGGCGGGGAGGGAACTGCGGCGGCCCCGCAGTTTCGCGATGTGTTCTCGTCCGGATGCCTCACAGCCTCAGCCTCGCCCAGCCTCCAAAAGATGGCCAAACTTTGACGGTCAGAAAGGACTGCCAACATTGTGGCATGCCAGAAGGCGACCACGGCGTTAACAGTGTAGAGACGTTCTCAAAACTTTTGAACTTTGAGACATTTTCAAGAGAGATTCGAGTCTTTCCGTCACGGCAATCACGTTATCGCCGCGGTGTGCCTTGGCTGCGGCGGGGCGGGGTGGGGCGGAGCGTGGCGGGGGTGACTCTCTAGGCCCTCCTCTGCCGGCCGGCGGCCGCGACACTCTGTTGTTTGTCTAATGGACAGGCAGCCACTCATCGCCTTAAAAGCTGGGGGAATTGGTTGTTATGAGTAAAATACGACTGGAAGTACACCGTGAACCGAAAGGTATAGCAGGCAGGACAACTGCAAACGGATAATGTGCAAGGAAAGAAATGTCTAAACCCTAAAACTTGCACTGTAAACCTGTA